GGTATCAAGAAAGCCGACCGTCCAGAGGCAATGGCAAACTACTGGACGTAAATTTGCCTAGAAAAACCAATGGGATTGGTTCTGCAACGTCCTATAAAAGATACGCAACTAACCTAACCTATTTGTTTACATGCCCGGTTATCGTCTTCGTCGTCGCCTGTTTTTTCCCTCCGATCGCTTCCTGAAAGTTTCATCTCTCATGAGACAAAGGATTTCATCCTAAATGGCAAACTAACAGAGCAAATCCCAGATAACCCCGCTCGACGTTCAAAGAAGATGTAATCAGGGTACTTGTAACACTACACCAGCCTGGCTTAGCTTGTTGTCTTATCACACTTATGTGCAACACATCTTTGAAAATGTGCATAGGAATTCAGGCTAATGTTGATACAGCGTAACTGGAGCTTCTAGCTTGAGCTTCTTGGTGAAGAGCTCAGAAGTTTAACAACCATCCTCCGAGAGAATACCCTCAGCACCAAGGAGGGATACCTTAAAACACGTCATATGTAGACTTCCGCAGTACACCAAGTCTCCCCGTATGCACTTTTAACACGTCATATGCTGACTTCCGCAGTACACCAAGTCTCCCCGTGTGCACTTTAAACACGTAATATCTAAAGATGCAAATTCTGATACAGGCAACACAGATCTCTATGATCATGAGGAAGTACACACATCAGAAGAAGTAATCGATTCACCCACATTAAACGAACTACTATTTGCTGACAACCAGTGCTTGTTCTACCCTGAAGAAGATAGACTGCAGGGCCACATTAACAGGTTAAACTCAGCATACAGTAAATACTGCGGACTGTTTGTCTTGCGTTGGTTTTGACGGTGGTACCTAGAGCTGACCGTTTAGCAGCAATGGCCACAATAGCCAAAAAAAAAATGCTAGAGCTGGTTCTGCAACCAACGATCTCGAAGTTTTTTTCTGCCCCGCCACGTGACGGGCCTAGCAAGCCGGCAGTGGTGTGTTTGATTGCCACTACTCAAGAGCCATTGAATTATTAAAGGACATATTCTTGCGGACATCGGACCGGTAACTAGACGAGACATGGTTACGAATACCAGCATTAGAGAGAAAGTTGGAATAAGACCATGTCTGGATTATTTTGACAGACAGACAATGAAATGGTTCAGCCATCTAGTGAGAAATCAGCCGGACCAGACTGCATTTGAGATTTTTTAAAGAAAAACATCTGGAAGGAAAGCGAGAGGAAGACCAGGAAAGACATCGATAATTGGTGTAGATTAAAGATGAAACAAATCCATCACTTAAACCACCAGAGATTCGCAAGACAAATACAGAAAACCACCACGCTGGACTACAACCTGGTATCAGTGAGACAACTTGAGAAGAACAGGAAGGTTCTGCAACGTCCTGTAAATGATACGCAACAAACTATTTAATACAATGAAGGTGAGTTTATGATCTGTCTTCTAGTTTCCATTAGTATTAGTAAAAAGACTGAGTTTACGGTCTACCTTTTACTTTCCATTAGTATTACTAACTGTTTCACTATTGGGAAAAGCTGATAGACAACTCTGTTGGCTTGTTGGATGCTGAACTGGATCTCTCTGTCCATTCTGACGTCTTATGTGAAGATGCGTTCAAAATATTTGGATTCTCCCACCTGTTTTTGTGTATGATCGTCAGCAGATTGAATCAGTCATATTAATCAAATTCAGTCAGTCATACTATGAATCATTCGTATTGCACGACCTAAATCAGTCACATTGTTCGAGCAATTTCAAACACCCAGCAAGTCTTCTTCTTCTTCGATCCTTCTGTCAGAAATCTTATCAGGAGGCGGGTAACTTATATGGAAGCTATCGTGCAGTCTATATCGTCTCGTGTACCATACAGCTATTTTCTTCATTGTGGTTAGAACAGGCCAGATTGCGTCTATGTTGGCAGCATACAGTTGACAAGTGTTGGAGCACATGCTCAGCATTTTCGGGTGCCAAGCTGCAGGGACACGTCTCCGTGTTTCTTACACCGACAATTTTTAATCTTCCCTATGTACACATAGGTTGTCTTACGAGCGATCAGAATCCGGATCTTCTAATTGAGATTCCTGTGTCCTAACCGCTTGACTGCCCAATTATGAGCAAAGAAAATGTGATGGTAAACTTTGTGTGTTCTTTTCACTGAACTTCCTATATTCAGTTTTTCCGTGTCGACTTTTGAACTACTTCAGTTGTTCGTGTTTATTGCTGTAATATTGACCGTAAGTGCTCTTCCAGATAATCGTCCCCATGTCTTGCGTATCCTCAACAGGACGTTGCGCAAACCAGTTTTTGGCTGTTTGTGATTTTATTAGTCAGTTTTACGTTCATTAATTAATCATTGCTTTCTCAAATAGCAGCTCTCCATGTCAATTTAGAATAGGGCAAAAGTCGCCAAATCGCTTGCAGCTGCTATTTCGGAATTACGAAGCACGTTGCCAACGCTCAAACCGCAGATAAAGACTATTCACAAGCAAATTATAAATGACGCGTACTGGGTATATGATTCAAGCTCTTCAATGTTTAGAGACCGAAAAGCAGTTGTTGAATAACGTGGACAAAATCACACTGATCTGAGTTTCCTCCAAAAGTATTTACAGAACACCCCTTATAACTTGGGTGGATCGGGAGGCCCAGGTCAGATTTATGAAATTCCCGCCTTGATAAAGATTCGAGCACACTTCAACTGGGCTGTTAGCCAAGAGCCTAGTCACTACACTACAGTTGCTCCCTGTTTCTCTAAACCAGCTGTTCTCAACCTTGGGTCGCGACCCTTTTTGGGGTCCAACGACCCTTTCGTATGGGTCGCCTAAGACCACCGGAAAACACATATTCATTTAAATTATGAAGGACAAAAAATTGTTTGTGGGTCGCCACAACATGAGAGCACTGTATTCAAGGGTCGCCACAACATGAGAGCACTGTATTCAAGGGTCGCCACAACATGAGAGCACTGTATTCAAGGGTCGCCACAACATGAGAGAACTGTATTCAAGGCTCGCCACAACATGAGAGCACTGTATTCAAGGGTCGCCACAACATGAGAGCACTGTATTCAAGGGTCGCCACAACATGAGAGCACTGTATTCAAGGCTCGCCACAACATGAGAGCACTGTATTCAAGGGTCGCCACAACATGAGAGCACTGTATTCAAGGGTCGCCACAACATGAGAGCACTGTATTTAAGGGTCGCCACAACATGAGAGCATTGTATTCAAGGCTCGCCACAACATGAGGGCACTGTATTCAAGGCTAGCCACAACATGAGAGCATTGTATTCAAGGGTCGCCACAACATGAGAGCACTGTATTCAAGGCTCGCATCATTAGTAAGGTTGAGAGTCACTGCTGTGAACAAAGACAGGTGTGGCCGATTTTTAGCGGTTCAAAATCCTCTACTGGTTTCTGTAACTTCCTGTTCACACAAAAAATAATAACCCGTTTCGTAAACTTTTATTGTTGCATTAAAAATCCGTCTTTCGGCTCGAAAAAATGTCTGTCAAAACCAGAAAATAAAGCACGTTTCATGACTTATGATACAATACTTCATCATTTCAAAAGGATGAGACGGGGTTTTAATGTTCATTCATAAGAGGCGCCATTTAAAAGAGGTTTTTGAATGTAAATAAAAAATACAATGAATAGACTTGTCACAATTTAATTCTTTTGTAGACTCGAGTGCGTTGAGCTGGCTTTGATTGTTTGCAAGATTTCCACATAGCGTAATCAACTAAGTCGTCCCTTTGTGGGATGCAATCTTTCGTTATTTTGAATCCCCACCCTGGCTGTTGCCGGGGGCCCTAATATAACCTAACGGTTGAACAGGGTTTCCATGACTTCTCCACGGGTGATACTCATCCGCATGGTCGCACTTTGTGTCACCGGGTGTTTATCGTTTGGTGGATGTTCTGATGTGGTTGAATCTCATTCACATAGCGCAGTTTCAAAATCTTTTCCGGTTATGAGTTTCAATCAGGAAAACAAAATTATTTCCCCGCCCCCCCCCCCACCCCCTCCTCATCCCTCCCCCTTTTTTTTCGTATACATTGTATAGATATTTTGACAGGCATTTCCCCGTATATCTCTAATCGGGTGCATACTTATAAATTTAATACATTTATATCTCCCTCCAATACATCTATGTCATTAGAGATTATAATAGGAATTCACGCAAGGTAGGACAGGTTTTAATATACTGTGGTAAATTCTGAACAATTAATAGACAGGCCGAACAATATCTTGAAGTCTCGGAGATGTTTTACAGAAGAATCCTTACAATTCCTTGGAAGGCTAAGAAGAGCAACCCAGTTGTTTTGAAGGAAGCAGGTGCCCACGCCAGTCGGCAAGGCACTTGATGATGATATCTTCCTTTTCATTGTGTTCAACCTCGTTTGGTCGAGTCAGTTTGTCTTGTAGGCTGCCTCCCATTATAATTTTTTGAATAAAATGAATCAATGAATCAAAAACTGACATTATCATTTCACTCGGGACATTTTCAGATGTACTCCGTCCCCTTTTCATTAGCTAAGAAAGGGTGTACTAACTAAATGAAAACAGTGTGTGTGTCATTCAACCCCACTAGGACCGTACAACGAGCGACCAACACCCGGTGACGCAAAGTGCCACCATACGGATGAGGATGACCCGGGCACAGGTCCCAGAAACTCCGTTCAACAGTGGGGCTTTAAAATAACGAAAAATTGCGTCCCACTTTGGGACGGGTGTAAGCTACCAATAAATTAATACAGCAATAATATGAATTATTCATATGTTAAATGAATATGAATACCTACAAGACAAAAACTAATGACAAGACATAGACCCCAAAACACTATAGTTCAGTGTTAATCAAACATATAGCAGTCCTTGTGGGAAACAGTGACCGCCACTATAGTTCAAAACTGAGAATACAACGTTGAACAAGTTACCAAATGCACTAATTTAGACAAACAACAAAGTGTGGGCCATATTTGGAAATAAACAGAAAGAAGTGTACTTCTAACCGAACCCACGCCAGAGAAATCAGGGATGTAATCAATATTTTACCTGCGGGCAAACGAAGAACTCCTGGGTCGCTACAATGTCTTGGGGTAGATTGCACTGGGACGATCTCCTGGCGTCACTATATATAGTACAATTGAGACATGTTTACAGTACCCTCAGTGTAACCCCTAGTACGTTTGTTTACAACTAAATAGTTGTTTAATAGTAATAGATTAGCCAGGATTGCTAGTAGGCAAGCAGCAATAAGGTCATCATTACTGTTAGTATTAGCTTTAAAATGGGTATTAGGAAAATATGGAGAAGTATGGCGGTAGATGTGATAATAACCAACTATATCACCAACCAGTGCCAGTTGGTCTAAGTCTAAATTATGGACTGGTATCATATATTATCCTATGCGTCTAAATTATGGGATTAGTATTGTATATCCTATACGTCTAAATTGTAGGATTTATATTATATATCCTAATAATCTATATATGGTATTGATTTTAAATATTCTATGAGTCTAAATTATGGGATTGGTATTATATATCCTATACGTCTAAATTATGGGATTGGTACTTTATATCCTATACGTCTAAATTATGGGATTGGTATTACACATCCTATAAGTCTAAATTAAGGGATTATTATTATATATCATATACGTCTAAATTATGGGATTGGTATTACATATCCTATACATCTAAATTATGGGATTGATATTATACATCCTATACGTCTAAATTAAGGGATTGGTATTGTATACCTTATACGTCTAAATTATGGGATTGGTATTATATATCCTATACGTCTAAATTATGGGATTGGTATTATATATCCTATACGTCTAAATTATGGGATTGGTATTATACATCCTATACGTCTACATTAAGGGATTGGTATTATATATCCTAAACGTCTAAATTATGGGATTGGTATTATACATCCTATGCGTCTAAATTATGGGATTGTTATTACATATCCTACAAGTCTGAATTATAGGAATGATATTATATATCCTAGTTGGTTTTTGTGGCTTAGACGTTGCGAACACGATTCGTAATGCATTGGTGCCTGGTTCGGTCTCAGCTGCAGGCGATTTGACAGTAGACCGGCGGTATGTATAGTCGACCTGCAGTAAGCAATGGCAAACTGCCGAATGTAAATTTTCAAAGCAATGTTTCCCCGATGTGAATTTGAACAAAGAAGACACAAACAATAGACTGCACAATTTATTGCCTGGCATATTTCGCTGTATCTCATCAGGTTTGAAATGTACTCGAATTTGTTTTTTGGCAGAACTGATCGACGACTGGAGCAACGGGTTGTTGAACATATTCCACTATGGGTGGTAAAAGCAATGCAAAACACTAACACCTCAACAACAGCAAATCAGGTGACTGGTCGAAATAATCCATCATCAGCAATTGCGTGCCATATTATAAATTCCGAGCACATCATTAACAGGGATGATGCATTTCGAATTATTTACAATTCGGCCAACCGTAGATTACTTCGATACGCGGAAGCTTCCGCGATTGGCAGATTGAAACCGGAACTATGTAGGCAAAAAAGAAATGGTCGTTTCCCTACGCTTACCTTGATGAAACAGTTTGAAATGCACTCGAATTTGTGTTTCAGTTTCTATGATTCAGCTATTTGCTTCATTCTAATTAATTGTTACTGTAGTATGCACCTGATGAGATACAGCGAAATATGCCAGGCAATAAATTGTGCAGTCTATTGTTTGTGTCTTCTTTGATTGAATGTAAATTTGCCTAGAAAAACAATAAAGGCACACAAAAACTATTACTGGAGCTGTTCTGCACCGCCCTGTGAAGGATACGCAACTAACTTTATTCTTCTTCTTTCTTTTTCACGTCCACCAGTTGTAAACTCTGGTGGAAAGTTATGATTGTTCGTCCACTTCTGGACTGCAGTCCTGTTCCAGAACCTGAGTGTTGCGGGTACATCCGTTTGACAGATCTGACACATTTGTGTGCAGACTGACTGTTGGTTCCTTGCCTCTTAGGCAGATGCACTCCGACTTCGAAGGAAACTCCTAATTAGTCAACTTTTGCGACATGCTTTTTGATAGGCAGTGGGTCTATTCTTGTTTTCCCTATAATAAGGCCTCGGAACCTACACGGGAGCTAACTTTATTATATATCCTATACGTTTCATGGCTTTTTCCATCACTCTATTTCACAAAGAAGCTTCCTCTTCTCCTTCTCCTATAATGGATAAATATTTCTTTGAACATCTGCATATTTTCTAGACATGTTTCACTGTTTTTTCATCTTTTTCTTAATTTTCACTTGACCTATCATTTTGATTTTTTGAGAAATGTGTTTGTGTAGCCTGTCATGTGGAGATTTTAATATCCCATTAATCATTAACTTCTTGAAATAGAATTTCTAGATCAGATAATTAAATAATGTATCATTTTTTTATTTTTTTTTATTTCTATGTAGAAACATCTCATTGTCGTTAATAAGAGTGCGCAGATCTGATTTAATATTTCACATTTAAGATTTCACCTTCTTTAACTTTACATTATGTTATCTGTAATTAACATTTGAAACCGCTTCATTTGATCAAATTTGTGCGCTTCGAAAGCACTTCGAAATCTCCGGTCTTCTATGATCTCCCTTTAAAAGAAAGTGGGAGGGGCGAAGTGGTTAAGCCGTTTGCCTCGCGATCTGAAGGTCGCTGGTTGGTTTCACAGCTGCAGCGTTCGCTTCCCAAGTACAGTTTTTACGAAAATCCCCGAGTGTCATCGCAGGAGCTACCGGAATTCATGCTTTGTGTGAGAATTACGAAAGGCGACAGGATGCAGTCGGAAGATAGACCGAGCTCTATATTATCTACCCAAGTGCAATTAGACTTTAGACTTTAACTTGTAGTATCTTACAAGGGATGTTGAGACGTTGTGTTGTGGACTACACAAGGCTACGCTTGTTAAGAGGTAGTGAATCTATTCTTCCACAGTACCTTCCCTATTCTTCCATCAGACCCCCTCGAAAACCACACCGGGAAGAAAATTTCAGTATATAGGAATACCATAGGTCATGTTCTAAAATTATCAGGACTGTTTCATCTTACATCACTGGCACACTACATGACGAAACTTGCCTAGAAAAACCACAACAGCCCAAAAATGTTTGGGTTGGTTCTGTAACGTCCTCTAAAGGATACGCAACAAACTTTTTTTCATCTTACATAATGTTCCTCGATTTTCCCTATGCTTCTTCTTGTGCGTTCTCCCTTAAAGGGAAGTATAATGAAGTTGTATACTGCAAGCTGGTTACTATCTTAGAGCTGCAAGTGATACAGAACATATAGTTCTTAGGTAACAGAACACTGTAAAGGGTGATAGTCTAAAGAGGGCAGATCCTGGATGGCCCTTAAGAAAAATCAATCAACAGTGTCTGCAACTTTAAAGAGATATCCGAGGAGAAGAATTGGTGAAAGTACTGAAGGCAGAGAAGAGTTGGACGGGGTGCTTGCTTCGGGACAGAAATGCTGGGAATTGGCCACGGGAGTGTCGACGCCGAGGTTAAGTCGATGACAGAGGACAACTGTGGGCCAAGAGGTGTGGTTATATACACTGATGGCCCTGTGGCCAGTGGGCAAAAAAAAAAAGAGTGAATGGAGCTTCACTGTAAAAGCGAAGGGGAGCAGAGCTTGGCATACGACATATCACATCCACGACACTGGGCTACAACCTGGTGACAGTGAGACAACAAATGAATAAGAAGAAAAATCGTAAGAATGGAGGTTGAGGTGGTAACTGTGGCATTCCGATGAGTGGAACAAATCTCAGCTACACATGTTGACATAATATCAGATTCTCAAAGCTTGCACAGGAAGCTTTGCCCGGGCTATGCAGGTGCGTTTGGGAATGAGCATGCAGATATGCTGGTTAAACTGGCTTCACTGGGAGGTGTACTGCATGTGCACAAGGCAGAGATGACCTCTTGCCTGTAGGATAAGATAATAAGTAAAATAGAAGATACTGAAAACCCATACCTGGAGAGAATCATTGGGCGGAGAGTGTCTACGTGCTATGGGCACCATTCGAGTCTCGGGGAAAGGCAAGGCGAATAGTTAACCAGTTGACGGGGCCCATCGGTATGGAGACTGTTAGCTTGTTGTTGAGTAGGGAGACGACGACTGTCTTGATCGGCTTGTCCTGAATGCTGTGATGTCGACTATTTAACCAGATGACCCTTAAAATGGTTTTTGGCACCCATAATGCAGTTTACAACTAAGCTGCGATATATTTGTCATTCGGATTAAAAAATTCGATTTAGGCAAATCCTTGGTCGCCTTTAAGGATGCTTAACGGGCGTATTAGGGATCTGTAAGTACCCCCCCCCCCCCTTTTTTTCCTCCTCCCTTTTCACTCCCGGAGTCCCGCAACCCACAAACAGGGATAAAGTATCTTATAGCATTATCAATATCTGTTATTGGATTACCTAAATCCATTGACTAGAGCTGTTGTTTTTACCTTTTCGTCTTTCCAGACGATGATGTTAAATTGTGCCATGAGGAGGTATGGGGCTCACTGCCTATGGCAATGGCGAGTATGTCTAGCAAGATCTGCCTGCTTTACCAGCGTAAACATACGACAAAAGCTGTCAACGCTTTGATAAACAATAAATGCATTCTATCTGAAAGAAACGCGTACATGATCCGATGACTTATACACCAGATATGGATGCACATTTACCAAGTGTATCGAACATCTCATCAGCATGAGAACTGAGAAGACACATACTAAACACAGATGTTGACAGCAATGGTCCTGAAATCCCATGCTATAATTGTGGACGACTTTTCTTAAGGCGGGCCGGCTCTTGCTAGCCACACTCGTCATCGCCATAGGCTGTAAGTCCTAAGCACTCTCATAGTGCAGTATAACACTGTGGTCTGGAAAGACAGAAAAATGCCAATCGATAGCGAACATCAACAGCTAAAACCGTCAGAAAAAAACTGAACTTAATTATTTCTAAAGCAGTATAGATCTCGGTGGACAGTTGGAGCTGAATCGAGCTGATGTTACACATGCTAACCCATCTTGTACTGAAACCCATAGTACTGCT